CATATCTCCCACATCTCCCCCTCATCTCAAGGTGGAGGAGCGGCACCTCCCCATATCTCCCACATCTCCCCCTCATCTCAAGGTGGAGGAGCGGCACCTCCCCATATCTCCCACATCTCCCCCTCATCTCAAGGTGGAGGAGCGGCACCTCCCCATATCTCCCACATCTCCCCCTCATCTCAAGGTGGAGGAGCGGCACCTCCCCACATCTCCCACATCTCCCCCTCATCTCAAGGTGGAGGAGCGGCACCTCCCCATATCTCCCACATCTCCCCCTCATCTCAAGGTGGAGGAGCGGCACCTCCCCATATCTCCCACATCTCCCCCTCATCTCAAGGTGGAGGAGCGGCACCTCCCCATATCTCCCACATCTCCCCCTCATCTCAAGGTGGAGGAGCGGCACCTCCCCATATCTCCCACATCTCCCCCACATCTCAAGGTGGAGGAGCGGCACCTCCCCATATCTCCCACATCTCCCCCTCATCTCAAGGTGGAGGAGCGGCACCTCCCCATCTCTCCCACATCTCCCCACATCTCAAGGTGGAGGAGCGGCACCTCCCCATATCTCCCACATCTCCCCCTCATCTCAAGGTGGAGGAGCGGCACCTCCCCATATCTCCCACATCTCCCCCTCATCTCAAGGTGGAGGAGCGGCACCTCCCCATATCTCCCACACTCTCCCCCTCATCTCAAGGTGGAGGAGCGGCACCTCCCCATATCTCCCACATCTCCCCACATCTCAAGGTGGAGGAGCGGCACTTCCACGCTGCGCTCGGCAAGCACAAGAAGGACGCGCCGTGCCTGACCCCGTCACTGCGGCCTCGTTTTTCTCTTCGACGCGGGCTTCTGTCTGTAGGACTTTCGCGCGGTGCATGACGCCGTCACGTCGGCGTCGTTTTTCTTTTTTACGCGGGCTTCTGTCTGTAGGACTTGCGCGCGGTGCACGACGCCGTGCGGACAAAGGACATGGCGTCGGTGGTGCGGCTCTACTACCTCGAGAACGGTCTCAAGAAGAAGGAGGAGCGCGAGAAGGCGCGCGACGTGCGGCGCCGCTCAAACCGCCTCGCGTCCGGCTTTCCTTTTTGAGGGGGGGGCGTCTGTTCTTAGGCGGCCGACGTGCCGCCGTTCACGCCGCCGCGCGGGTTTCTTTTTTTCACGCGGCGGTCGTGTGTTAGGCGCGCGACGTGCAGCTGCTCAAGGAGGCGCGCTCGCGTGAGGCGGCGGCGGCGCGGGAGCCTAGAAGCGGAATATCTCCCCGTATCTCCCCGCATCTCGTGCCCTAGAAGCGGAACATCTCCCCGTATCTCCCCCCGTATCTCCCCGCATCTCGTGCCCTAGAAGCGGAACATCTCCCCGTATCTCCCTTCCCCCGTATCTCCCCGTATCTGGCAGCACGGAGCCTAGAAGCGGAGTACACGTACATGTGTTCCAACTGGCGCTACTGGCGGGGGATAGGGGGAGATAGGGGGAGATATGGGGAGATAATGCACACAGGGGGCACTACTGGCGGGGGATAGGGGGAGATGGGGGGAGATGGGGGGAGATATGGGGAGATATGGGGAGATAATGCACACAGGGACCGGGGGGCGACGGGTACACCAAAGACGAGAGAGACAGACTCGTCCTGTCTCTCTGTTCCGTAGGCGCGAGAGCACCCGCGGCCCGCCATACCTGTGAACGGCGTCTCTTCACACCTCGGGCTGTGAATAGGCGCGAGAGCACCCGCGGCCCGCCAACGCCGCGCTGCCGCCGCTGGTGCACAATGTGTGGGTGGAAAGCCAACCATCACCCCTCGACGTCGCCCCGACTGCGCAGGAGGAGGGAGGAGAGGCGCGGCTGCGCGCGGCCGCCTGTCCGCAGCTTTTGTCACCGGCCGCGCCGCTCTCGCCCTCCCCAGGGGTGGTTAGCTCGGGTGAGGAGGAGCAGGGTTGATTCGTCCCGGTCACACACAACCGAAGTCGACAGTTGAGACTCCTAGACTAAGTGACGTAAGGCATTAGCCATTGTCTAGTAGCCCGAACTACGGCTACTTGGTACTTCGTAGCCCGGTCGAACACCCTGGGTCGCGATTTTGGCAAGTGAATACGGGGGGGGGGCGCTTTTTGACGATGAAATAAGAATCTAGCCTAGTACTTTTCTACTTATCTACTTTACTGCCCGAGGGAAACACATTCACATAGATGTACGAACACACACACATGGATGTACGAAATCTGTGTGTGTGTGTGTGTGTGTGTATGAAAGCGCAATCGCAACTGCCATGTCGGCAGGTTAAAAAACTGTTCAGTTTTCAAAGGCAAAACACAACGCTCTGCGGTTGGTGCACCCCTCACACTGACACATTCCCCTCATCCCCTACCCTTGGCTGAGCACATCTACCTGCGAGCTAGCATCTCCGCATTTTCTCTTCCAGTCATCCGCCCGCGCCGCGCGCCATCACTGGGCGTCTAGTGCAGCCACTGACAGAGCTATTCCGAAGGAGTGGTCGACGCCTCGCCTAGAGTTCGGGTGGACTTGCGCACTGCTTAGCCCTGAGGGGGGAGTGTGTGTGAGGTGGTGTAATGTTGTCCCGTTTCAGGCGGCAGGTCAGGGGATTAGCCGGGAGGATTCGGCAGCTCAGCCGGGGGCTGAGCGTCTGCAGGCAGCCTTCCGCCCGCGCCGAAATTCACAGCCCTCCCGGGCCGACGGGGTGCTCCTTGGATCGGGCCCCGCTCCCCGCTTTTCCTGTACCTGGACTGTCCGGGTTAGGAGGGTGAGAGTATTGGGTGGGCGAGGGCAGTACATCTGGCGGGTGGCGATTGAGGGACAGCGTGGGTTGATTGGGGGGTCAATGGGCGCGCGGGCGGCGCTTCGTGGTCCTGGGCGAGCAGGGGAAGTGGTTAGGAGTCTGGGCCCAGAGATGAGGATTGTCGAGATGTCATGCGAGAGCGGTGGGTGGGCGAAAGTAGCGCGGCTGGAGAGTGGTGTCCGAGGGACAATGGTGAGTTGTCAGTTGGGGCGCGAGACGCGCGGGACAGTGTTGGAGGCGGCCAGTGAGGTAGGGTTGGCTTTGAGCAGTGCAGCGAGTGTGTGGTCAAGCGTGGGAGCGGCGCGCGAGCACCGGATTTTTTTGCTGTGCGAGTCGAGTTCGTGGCCGGTGCGCGGGAAACTCGCCGAAAACCCGCGCAGCCGGCCGATTGTACGACCGAGGTCGCTGAGCCTTGGCGACGCGGCGCGCGCGTCGCCAAGGAGTTCGTAACGTGTCAGAGTTTTTTTCTACCACGTACCACAGCGCGCTTGGGCCACATCAGCTAGAACATCAGCCCCAGCGGTCAGATCCGTCTCGGCTCTGAGCTCTGTCGATCTTGATGTTTATTTAAAAGAGATGTGTCAACCGTAGAGGGACGAGTGGCCCGGGTCGCTCCGGCACCTCCCCTACCCCCACGGTACCGCACGCACCCACCCCCTACCCCCATGGTACCCGAACCCTAGGGGCGAGTGGCCCCGGTCGCTCAGGCCGCCGCCGCGAGTGCCGCGAGCTCCGGCGCGCGGTCCGAGTCCGTCGCCCGCGCCGCCTGCGCCGCGAGGTTGAGGCAGGGGCGCCGTGCCTAAAAAACAAAACCCGTCTGCCCGCCAAAAGCGACGTGCAGCGCGGGGGGCAGGGGCGCCGTGCCTTGGACTCGGCCGCGAGGTCGTCATAGGCGGCGAGGAGGGCGGGCCAGGCGCCTACGCGCTGAACACACCAACATCAGGGCGGGGAGACGGTGTTGTGCAGTGTCTTCAGAGAACCGCGTGAGTACGAGGGGTGCGAATACATCGAGCACAGCTGAATACAGCGGAATCCGTGTCTCTCGAGCGCTGGTTGGGAGACAAGAACACGTATTCCGCTATTCTAGGGCACGAGATACGGGGAGATGTGGGGAGATACGGGGAGATATTCCGCTTCTAGGGCACGAGATACGGGGAGATGTGGGGAGATACGGGGAGATATTCCGCTTCTAGGGCCAAACGCCGCACGAAGCGAGCGCCGAGAGCAGCGCCTGTTCACAGCTGGAGGTGTGAACAGACGCCGATCACAGGCGCCGCACGAGGCGAGAGCGGAGAGCAGCGCCTCGTCCGCCTCGATCTGGCCCGCCAGATCGGCAGCCGGCTGAGCGGCGTGCAGCTGCAGCGCGGTCGAGCTCGCGTCGGCGCCGCGCAGCAAACCTAACAAAAGACATACACGCGCCGTCTGGCCCAACAACAAGAAAAGAAAACGCGCGGCGGGCCGCGCAGCAGGCCTAACAAAAGACATACACGCGCCGTCTGGCCCAACAACAAGAAAAGAAAACGCGCGCCAGGGCCGCGCAGCAGGCCGAGCTGGCCGCACGCGCGGAGCGCAAAGACCAGGGAGCGGTCCGACGGCGACCGCGCCCCTCGATGCCGCTCCACCGCCTAAAAAAGAAAACCCGCTCCCCCGCCTCACCCACAGAAGAAGCAGGCCTTTGGACAAAGAGACGCAGGGTGCGGACGATGCCGCGCCACGGCCGGGAGGGGGGAGGAGGAGAGAGAGGAGAGATGGAGAGAGAGAGAG